TGACCATGGTTCTTTAGTTGAAGGCAAGGCACTTGTCAGTGACTTAGTAGTCTACCAGCTGATCGGGCGTTTCTTCCCCTCCTGAGGGGTTTTGCGAGTAGAATGGGCTGTGGCGGCGGTGTTGTCATTGACCGGGTACAGCCCGGTACGTGAATCTGGCTGGTCGGGCACTTGGAATCTAGTTGGGTAGATTGAATTGTAATGTTTGTATCCTTCATGAACCTCGGTGAATGATACAATGGTGCCTTACAACAAATTTTTCAATGCTCATATTCAATTCCGAATGAACGCTCCAGTTACTATGTGACTCGCAAGCTATTGGAAAAAACGCCATGATTATGATCATCGTACAATTGAACAAATCAGAACATGCTCACCGGCGGTCAGGTTATTTCCAGGCCCCAGCAGGCCTTGGGCAAGCTTACGGTCAAGCGTGACAGCAGGTGTTTGAAGGATCAAGCAGGGCCCAGGTTTGGTCGCGGTGGTGGCCAAAAGCCAACCCGCGTCGCGGCTTCCGCTCCAAGACCGACACCCTATGACCAGCTCATTGCCGCAGGTGCCAGCCCCAGCCGAGTTTTGGGTAAAGCTTCCATACAACAAGCTACCATGGCGACCCCTTAACTTACCCACTTGCGTTGAATTCGAAATGGAAGAGTAGTCGGTAAGTAGTAAAGCTCAGACCATATCTATCTGGTATGTCTATGCCGTCAACCTGAGGCGACAGCGGTAACTCGTGTTTTGTTATCCCGTTCTACCGTTTTCCTGTGTTCATCTCCTTCCACACTCCAAATAACCGCATATGCCTCATTCTGACTACCTATTCATGGCAATATCACAGAATGATGTACCTCAACAAACCTCTGGCTGAATTCCAAATACAATTTCTACTGTGAAAGCCGGGGTTGTGAATGAGAGTCGTACAAGGGGGTGGCAAGAATGGAATTTCCGGTCCGAGGTGGGGGGGGGCCAAAAGCCCTTAGAGTTTTTTTGTAGCTACGAAAATTCTGGGGTCCGAGGGGTCCTGAAAGCCTCTCAGAGGGTTTATGACGAGTATTATACTATGTTAAACATGCACCGGAATGGTACATCGCGTGTGCTGTAGCCAGAAATCGACCATCAATACCCGATGTTTCCAAGAAATGAGGCGCTAAGTGAAATCAATAGTTATCTGGCACGTGAAACACGTGCGATTACCATATAGAGCAGGAGGGGGAGCGCCCGGGCCCCGACCTGGGCTTTAAAAAAACTCAACCTCGTATACAATAAGGTATTGAGACCCCCTTGGAGTCGTATGACTCGAGTAGAACCGAATGGCGCTCAAAGTCTGAATCAAACAAGCTATCAAGAAACGTATACTTTTCAGCGGAGGATACTCATTAGTCTTCGCCAGGTTCTGCTATTGCTCTGGCCAATCAATTAAAGTAAATGGTGGAACTAGGGTTTTTTAGCTAATAAAACAAGTGGTATCCAGTGGTAGGACCCAACAGTTTCCATTGAGAGTGATCTGTACTTTTATCAACTATCTGGTGTTTCATGTAGCCAGTGTCGCTGGTGATGGGTAATGGGCAAGAGGGTATGAGTACAAGGCCTGCCGTTCTATTCACGCTTTGACTCCCACTTATAAGTGCATTTTTCTATGGCTTCATATTTCTCTGCAGATCATTAATAACCCTAGCATCTCGGTCTCCTTATACTTTGGAGGATCCAATGACCATACTAGACAATGTGCAAGGGGATGAGATAGGCCCAGTGACACTTTCCCTCCAATGAAAATGATACACATTTACAATACCAGTGTATCTGAGTTTCAACTTAACAATACATTCATGACGGCTAACACTCGCAGAAAAAGTTTGACTGAGACTTGAGTCAAAATGGGCTGTTGAGGGTAAGGGGGACATTGTTGCTCTGTTTTTGAGGACCATAATATATATACTGCAGTCATAATCAATAGCAGCCAGAGGAGAACCTCTTATCCAATAGTTTGTAAAGATAAATTTAATCGGCTGTCACAACCTTTTTAGTTGAATTATCAAGCTTCCCCTGCCTTCCTCTCTTGCTGGGTTGCTTCCAAATCTACTTCCAAATCCTCAGCCTGAGGATGAGAATGGATGTTCATGGTCACTTGAGCAGTATTTGTGCCTATAGCTCGTTGTGTATTGTGTTCTGCAAAGTTAATTGAAACCATTTGTTGAACGCTGTTCACCGATTTCCTGGATGCTACCCGCACAATAATCAATGTTGGTGCCAATCCCTGTCCATGGATAGTGTCAGTATCATTGACTCTTTGTAGATTGTGGGCACCTAGTGACTTACTGACATCAAGTTTGCAACGGGGGTGAGGTCCACAGGAACAGTGCCATAGTAGCCTGGATCCAGTGTTAGATGTATAATTACTGACAATAAGAAGGTTGTTGGGTATAGCAATCCTGACTCAATACTATACAATTTACTGTGAGCTGACCTATTGTGACAGAAGATATTCAAGTAGAAAGCACGTACATCACGGCAACAATTGCCTTATACCTGCCATGTATGGGTAGTCCCATGTACTGTCGTGCTTCTTTACTAATCCACCAGATTCTTCCAGCTTCAGGGCAGGGTTTATCAGGCACTTCAAATAGACTGAGATTGTATGGACATACCAGTGAGAAAAGACAAAGAACCATTGAAGATTGGGATGGCTATTGTGACACCAAAATTGATCTTATCTGAGACCAGGCTAGGGTAACCCTCTTTGCTGCCAGCAATAGAGAATAAAATGGTTCCCGCAAGGTTGAGTCCTGATGTTGTGCAGATTGAATTAAGTGGGATTTCACAAGCTGCAGATGCCTTACCATTGAGAATGACAGCTGCAGACCCCAAGACATACAGCACTGTTTTCTTGTATCCCCACAGTACATAGCACCGGTGAATCTGTATTGTGATTATAATGTCAGATGAGGGTGACTGAGACCAACAGGGAGAGAAGGCCACTAACAAGCATTACATCAGCACAAATACTTTTGGCAATATGTCAGCTTTGTATGAATTGACCCAAGATGGATGTGCCATACATCATGAGTGTGGATGATACACCAGTAGCAGTCCTATTGAGATGATAAGCACTATAGAACACAGAAAAGGGGGAAAACCCGAGCTCAACATACACTGCAGTTGTCTTCATTTTGTTGGGATGAAGGTAGTTCATGAGAGCCTCAACATTCTGTGTCTTGGCAGTATGAAACTCGAGGATGGCTTGATGTAACACCAAAACTACCTCCGCAGCAGCATCGAGGTTTGCTAAAACAAACAGGATTATGGTACACATCCAATAAAGTTTCAGGCCTGAATCCTTGCGGCTGTATAGAATATGGATACAGAGTCCAAAGATGATTACATACATCCCTGTGTGTATGGGGATTGATTATTCATGAAACATTCAAGGGACATGCTTACCGTGAACAAAAAACAACGCCTGCCCGAAGTAAATTGTGGTAAGACTTGAGGGGCAACAAATTACTGTTATATTCACTCACAGAAAGTGTCGCAATCGGATACACAATAATGTGATTAACGGTGAGGAGGCGCTCCAAGAGTTCCATGAGATTTTCAGGGCTGTTTGAGGCCATTCTGTTGTTGAATAGACTGGAGCAAGGAGACCAATGAGGGCACTCACTTCAAGGATTTACAAAGTCCCAGCCTTCTTATACCTTGTTTTTCACTTACTTCAGTTGTCTTCTGAATATAGACTACTTCCGACATGATGAAGTGCAGCTGATGATCACCAATCAGCACAATGTCCAAGCAGAGCCAAGGATCAATCAATATCAGATTGGGTCAATTAAAAACCTATTGCACCCAGCTCACCTGTTTTCATGCCGCTTCCTTTCCTTTATTCATATACCGGAGCGGTTGTTCGACTTCATTTTCTGGCTATTGCATCCCAATCTCAGGGTTAAACTCACAGCATTTTTCTGATGGTGGCCAGTGAGCTCGAATCAACGATGATAGCAGAGGCCCCACCTTTGGCAAAATAGGTGCTTTGTGAGGACTCCTTTGGCCAGTTCCGTTGGGTCCAACAGATTCACGTTGTAGGATATATGTCGTAGGATAACTCAAGTCACTACACGCACTCAACACGCAGCTGTGGTCTCATCTAGCACAACCGTGCCGATTTGCGTTCGTATCAATGTGAGATCACAAGACCAAATGGAGAGGACATAGACTCACCTAAGAATGACTATCAATGGCGATGGCTTAGACAAGATGCGTCTGAAAAACGTAGATCAGTGGTTCAGCATCCGCTTTGAATGACCCAATTGGTTCCGGTTCTGATATTCTAGTATCATGATATCATCACAACTTCCGACACATTACTCTAGATAAGTAACTTGTCGGAGCCACTGATAGTTCTGGATATAACAACCCTCAAAACTCATACGAAATAGCCACAAACCAGAGCGTCGCACAAATGGTGAGTGAAATTGTTATGGTTTGACACATTGACATTGAGTCGTCCATTATTTGGGCATGGATAGCCGGCAGATTGAAACATCACAGAATGTGGGGTGAAGAGGAATGGGACAAACGGAGGGGAGATATCCTAAGAGATTGAGTCAGTCATTACGACATTGTTAAGGTCTATCAATGGGGTGGCTATTCCCGAATCGATTCCCTCGAACTATCGACGGTGTGAGTTCTGCGCTTTTTTACAGGTTAGAGGCTATGAGGAAGTCCACATGTAACTCCTAGCGAGGAGAAGGTTCCGTTGGTTCGTGATGAGGAAGATGACATGATGTACCAATGTGCTCTACTATTCCCACTTGCCCTCCGGACAGCACGAGCCAGCTCATCCAATGACCGTGCGTGTAGCCATCTGGGACCTCAGACCTGCAGCACAGCTAGCACTTCATCTGAGGCAGACTCAAAGATTGCCATTTCGTCATTTCGAAGACTCGGATACAAAGGGAAAATAGCCCGCGGGGAAATATGAATCCAGGCAAATTCAGACCACTATCTCCGTTATGGTGTCGTGGCTAACATTATCGCCTCTCATAAACGATCGGGATAGAATGGAGCGCGATAACCCAGGGTTCGATTCCCTGTAACGGAAATGGCGTCGATTGGACAATTTTTTGGCGTCACCCGTGAGTAGTAATTACCTGTCAGAAAAAGTTCAGTTCTTTTTCCCAGTGCCGCACTAGCTTTTTTAGCGCTCAGTTGATTTGCCCCCTTGACGTTCACTACTCGTACTCCCCCGGACTGTAAAACACGAGCCTTGCACCAATAACGCTACCAAATCTTTGAAATGGATCAGTCGCCGTGTGGGCTGGACGTCAGTTGTCTTCCATTCCAAGTGCCTTGGGTTTCAGAGTACTTCATCTGCGGTTCACTCATTATCAAAACCGTGAGGTTTCAAGTGATTAATTGTTATCAAACTGTTCTGCTGCTTTTGGGGAAAAGACCTTATCCATTCAGCAACTATTCCTTTCCTTCGCTCTCAGCAACCTACGAGCTTTGTTAAGTATTCACTCATTGCTAATCTCGATTCTGGAATGGCCCGAACACCGCACATGCAATATTTTGAGCTCAACCGCTTGGGTGAAAGATCCCTTAGCTCAGCGGTAGAGCATCTGATTCCAGTGACCAGGCACATAGTGTCCACGGTTTGGCATCCAGAAGGTCGTCCGTTCAATCCGGGCAGGGATCACTTACGTGTATATTCCTCTCTTTTGACCTGTTGGGCTCTTTCTTTTATGATGATGGACCAGAGGTTTCGCTTGTATTGTCGTTGGCTTTGTCTTGACAAGATTCACGCGCGTTTACCATCTTACCTCAACCAAATGGCGCCGCTTTGACCTCTCGTATCGCTTCGTGTTTGGATGGAAGTGGTGTCAGCAGAAAGAAAGGGCTGACTAGAATCATTGAACTCGAAAGGCGGGGCTGAATGACGACGGCTATATTCACGACTTGAACTCGAGATAGGGCCGCAGTTCAATTGGCAGGCGGTATGTGGTCCGCTCCTTAGCCAAGGTGGATGTAACCGACCTTAGCTCAGTTGGAAGAGCACAAGACTGTAATAGGCACTGTGAGGATCTGCAATTAGACTTACCTTGATCTTGGGGTCGCCTGTTCGAACCAGGCAGGTCGGAGAAACGTTTTTCACCCGCTGATCAACCGATACTCTGCATTATTGTCGGCGTGAGAACTCATTTCCTTTTCTTCGATGACGTGATGTGATCTCATCTCTCTTGAACCGGAAAGCTAGTGCGTACCAAGTTTTTCGTAAGTACACGTGCTATATACATTACGTTCGGTATATGACGCAAGCTCGGTTTTCCGGAATATCGGGCGACTCCCCGGGCGAAAATGATTTTGTTCCCGAACGTCCAACGTGTAACGTCGACGCGACCCCTTTCTAGGCCCTCTGCTAACCTCTGGGCGCTGCTAACCTCTGCTAACCCATAGTAAGCTCCACGGCATATCTCCTTCGATTCCTATCACTGACAGTGTCAACAATCTCTTTCACAGAAGGCCGTCAACCTGGCTGGCAATCGGATTATAGATAGGCGCAGGACCGCCAAGCTGGTTAGGTACAGGTAACCGGTATGTGTTTTCCCTCCCTTTTCTCCGTATACTGACGTGTCCAAGGCTCTGTCTACTGCCTACGCTCGTCCCGAGTCAAAGAAATACCCGCGAGGACTGGAACACACCAAGAGGAACCCAGGAATTTCCGTCATATCCAACTATCGATGACGGGCATCTTTTCGGAGGAAAGGAAGCCTTGGTATTATCAGGTGTCAGGGACAATCCCGACCATTTTGGATATGGTACGTTTATGTGCGTTTATGGGTATTCCAAATGCTGAAACGGAGTCTTCTCGTGCAGTTTTGCGGCCGGCTATATCTACTTATTCACAGAAACCAGCTGTCGCGTCACGAAAGTCAATAAATGTCTATTTTTCAACGTACAAACCACTTCGTGTGATAAATTTCTTGAGTTTTGAGAGCCCCAAAAACGGACACAAGCTCCCCGGATGAGCAGAGGCGATTTGCACGGACTCTGCATCTTGACAACACTGTCCTTTTGCGCACGGACCAGCCAGAAGCCAGCGCTACAATTTGAGCTCGTTCCCCAGCGACGAACGGTACTACTACGCACAATAAAGGTGAGAGTCCATTGTTTGAATAGTATTCATTGGGCTAATCATCTGGAATTTACAGTCCAAGCAACGATCAGGACTCTCATTTCCCGGCGGCAGCTTCATCTGAGGTTTACACGTCGCACTGTCTCACCTCTTTCAGCTCTTCTCCCAAGCTATCATGTTCGGAACGAAAGCGGCTGTCTCCTGGGTACAAGCTGGCTCGAAAGTGCCCTCTCACCCTGCGCTGAAAGTCAAGGGAAAGGTTTGTGCTCCTCGTACTTGATTTGCGGGGTGCCCCTGACAGTCCTACCAGCCAAAGACGACCATCGACCGACTCAAGCTCTCGCCGGCTCAAAAGTCTGAGCTGTACGAGCTGTACGCTGAGGGTTCGGCAGAGAGGCAATTAGTACGTTTGGTGTACGACCCAAGCGATAACATTCAGCAGGAACAAGCAAGAGTGAAACTGTTCGAGCTCGGACTTGATGGAGAATCGACGGCATCCCTGGAGAGGAAATGGAGTATCGAATGGTCAACGACGTGGACAACAAACAAAGGAGGTAAAATGAAGAGAACACTTTACCAATGGTAACGACTTCTCTTCTGGATTTTCCATGGGTCTCACCATTTCACAGTGTTTCTGGATACGACAGTAGCGCGCGACAGGAGCAAGATGTAAAGGCGCGTGCTCGCGAGGGTCGTGGCGTGAAAGGGAAGCCGTGGAAACGAAGGGCACCCTGGCCGTTTACTGGATGTCTAGCCCACGTTGAAGTCGCGGAGAGCTTGACGCACAGAACGGTATCTGAAATCTCCCGGGTGCTCTCGCACAACGCTGAATGTCAAGACTCGGTCCTTGAGCGTCTTCCTCCCATCCCCCTTCATGAGCACGTCTACGAGGTTGCTCTGGCTCAGCTCGAAAATGATGCAAGGTATGGTTGCTGTTAGATTTGTTCTACAGTTGCTGACCACTCTGAAAGCCTGACAGCTATACAAGATACAAACCAACGTATGATTCAACAACGGTCGTACCGCGGAATGTTATCGTATGATCCCGAAACCGCTAATGTACGCTACCTACTCCTAGCTTCTGACAGCGCGGCTCTCTATGCAAAGTATGCTCGAACTCTCGGGATCGACGTCAAGAACCCACCGCAGTATAACATCTCTGACTGGCTCAATCCGAACTCTCCCCGCTACAAGCCCGAGGTCGCCTCTCAGGTTTTCCACTATCAGGAGCGTGCAGAAGCCAGAGATCGTTTTGAGGTTTGTATTTCCACGCCAGAGATGGACAGGACGGCGTGGAAGCATGCTCACCGCTCGCAGCTTGTTCTTGATGGCACGTTTGGGGTCTGTACTGTCAGGCTACTACTTTTCATTGCCCTCGCTGTCGATTCGCAGGGAAAAGGACTCCCTATTGCCCTCTTCCTATTCTCGGCTCCTACTGGTAACCGTGCGACTCACGCTGGCTACAATACGGCCATCCTCGAAAAGCTTCTCCGAGCGTGGAAGGGCTACCTGAGCTCCCAACGACCTACCGGATCAGAGCCTTTCACGCCCTTCTCTGTTATCACTGACACGGATACCAAGGAGCGTGGTGCTCTCTTGCTTGTCTGGCCCTCAATATACCTTCTCCTTTGCAAGTTCCATGTTCGCCAGTGCTGGCTGAACAACCGCAAGAAGGCTCTTGGCTCGGGCGACCCCTCAAAACCGAATTTCTGGAAGGACCATGTTCGCGATCAGCTACGAGGCCTGGAGACGGGGTAAGTCCATTGTTTATCTCCTTCAAAGCTTGTACTCAAGGGTTATCAGGCTCCTCAATAGCGCCAACTATGAAGAAGCGAAGGATCTCGTGGTCAAGCAACACACCTACCTCAACGCTATCATCAGCGATAATATTGTCGAAGCTACGAGCGCGGCTCAAGCAGGGAAGAAACACCTCCTATATCTTACGACTAACTGGATGGATGTCTCCATGTGGCGAAGCTGGTCTGCATGCGGACGACTCACCGTCTCCAACCTCCTCAAGATACCCATCGAGGGGGTGGTCCCCACAACCAATCACCTGGAATCTTTCAACGGTATCCTCAAGCGCAAGCACCTCGCGCACTGGTTTCACTCTGGACATCGCCTTCGTTTTGACTATCTCATCCACCTTCTCTGCACACGAATTCTACCCGGGATCTATAACCGACGGCTCGTTCAGTCTCAATACACCGACTGGCTCACGGAACGATTCAAGAACCAGGCAGGAGGGAAAGACCTAGTGCGGATTCAAGGGCAGGAAAAGTCAGAGAAGAGAGGAAAAGGTGCAGGCGTCTGCTGGTGGCCCGAAGATGAAACTCGTGACCAGCAGGCGAGGACCATAATGTCACTACAGAGGGTAGGATGGAGCCCCGGTGCCGATTCCGAGACCTTCGCTGGGCGTTGTCTATCCTCTAAATCAAACGAAGCATGTTACTTCCTCTCCATGCACCGCGACGGACGAGCATCGTGTACTTGCCTTGACTTTCAGGAGCATGGGGGTGCTTGTAAACACCTGCGGGCAATGCGCTCGCTCCTACACCACTCCCTTCTCAAGAGTAATGCGCCTCCTCTCTTCTACCCGTCGACACTCGAAACTGCCCTTGGTGTACAGAAGTTCTCATCTACAACATCTCTGAGCCCTATGGCCTCAACCCCACCGCCGTTGGTACCATCTATTCCCCACCCACCATCCGTCTCTGCTTTCTCCGAGATTCAAGCCTCCGCGCAAGACACTACCACACTGATGGTTGGAGAAGATAGCAGCGGTTTGAACGATGAAGAACATACCGGGGATCTAGAGAACATTGTTTACGAGGAGATATTTGAGCCTCCGGTACGTTTCCGAGCTTTGATCTATGTCTAGATTCTCAATTCTCAACAGGAGAATTTGAACGAAGACCAGCGCCGGACAATCAATGCTCAGATACAAGCAAAGATTCAGCACACCACCGCGCAGCTTTTACCGCAACTCCACGGCCTAAACGGTCTATTTGGGGACCTTTCGACACTCAGCCCAGAATCACCAGAGATCTCAGAGCTACAAGACGTGATGTCTACCATCCAAGCTCGGGTGCTGGCGTTGCAATCGGTCGGAGGCAGTAGCGATGCTGACAGATTGCTCTCGGTGACAGCTGGTTGTCCCGCAACTGAGTCTGAGAGAGGAAGAACAGTGGGTTTGAAACGGCCACGAGAGCTACGGGCCCCTTCGAACGAGAGGAGGCAAAAGCGACACGACTCCCACAGTACGACCTAAGGGCGGGGTTTCCCGGACTGTAACTATATATTCCATCGTATGTTGTATCAAAAACTTTTCTGCCCTACGAGCCCTGTTACCAATGGCTATGTTACTGTGAGTAGCAGATTCAGGGACCCAATATTCGAGCCACACGCTATTCCTTCCACTGCCGGCATAAAGAAAATTGAACATGTGAGCGTGTCAGCCAGTGCCACTGGTCGGTGTTTGAACTTAGTTTTTAAGGTTGCCAGTACCTTGCCTCCTGCCACGACATCGCCCAGCGGTATGTGCTTTCCGGTTCCTTCTTTTGGTGTTTTCTTTGAAGTTTCTTTTCTGCACCTGGAAGAAGGTTGGTTTCCGGCGACTCATGAAATGGTTCTGACCCAATAGGACCTATCCTGAGAATTCAGAGCTCAACCTTCTTCCAGGTGAAGACAAGAAGCAAATTTCTTACGCTGTTTCAATCTCTAGCGCGGGAGGTACTACTCCAGAACCCAGACACCGGTGCTGATTTGAGATGGTGTACTTTTTACGGTCGGTAAGCCTACATTTTATTGCTTGACCACTGCCACAAACTTGCTAAGTCATGGACTTTGTCTACAACCATCCAAGACTCTCGCATGTTCCTCGGAACTTCACTGACGACAACGTATTTGCGGCGGCTGCCTTCAATTTCGGCGGAAAAGTTTGAATGTTCAAGCACCGAGATCATCTCAATTGGGCTTTTGGTTGGTGCGCTATCACAGCCCTTGGAGACTTCGATCCCACTAGGAGCGCCCGCCTGATTCTTTGGGAACTGAAGCTGGTCATTGATTTCCCATCCGGCTCAACTGTTCTCATCCCTTCTGCTGTCGTGACGCACTCGAACACCCGGATTGCTGAAGGTGAGCCCAAATCTCCATCTGGTGCTCATTGCAAGCAAGCCTCTAACAAACATTTGACAGGTGATGAACGCACCTCCTTTACGCAATACACTGCTGGCGCCATCTTTCGTTGGGTTGACAATGGAGGAATGACCGATGGAGAGCTCCGGGAATCAGATCACGACATATGGTTGGAGGCAATGGCCCAGAAATCCACTGCATCTTCAGAACGAATCGAACTGTATTCTACCTTGGAAGAGCTACTTGTACATGTACACGACAATTAAGTTTCCAATCTTATAAAACAATCTCTACGCTATGAATAGTACAACCAGGACGAATTAGGTTTTGCATACTTTCTGAACAACAAACGCGAAGGAGTTGAAACAATTCATACGCCGATGCAGACCAAACAAAGAAGTCACGAAAGCATATCATAAGCAGGAGCAAAGACCATGGCCACACCAAACACAGCTAGCACAGCTCACAAACATGAAAATCGTACACAGGCTCTCTACAAACCTCGCATTGAGGGGCTTCATAATCATCGTTGAGTGCAAAAGGACTATCGGATGTTCCGGCGCCTGAGACTACATGCGTGAGCTACCCAAATACAACCGGGAGGCAGCCTTACCTTCAAGTATCATTGAGGAGCTAGTGACCATGGATCGACTCGTAACAGATGCACCGTCTATAGAGATTCAGCTGTAAGAAGCCACTGGTAAGATGGTGAGCATACCAATACGCGAAGGGCCTGCGACCGTGGAGGGTCCAGCACCAGGTGTATCCAGGACTACAGGGGTTTGTTCTTGTTGAGCGTAATACCCGTTGACATTGTCGTATTCTAGAAAAGACGTCAACCAAAGATCAAGAATAGAATAGTAGCTATATACCTTCATAAAACTTAGCGAACGACTTGGGCGATCCATAAAACATCGTCGACTCATCTGCTGAGCGCCAGGTCAAGTCCCTTGTATCGGGAGAAGTGCCCTTCTCTATGGCTTTGGTATTCCGGGTGAGTTCGGCCTTCTGAGCAGCCCTGCGCTTGCGATCTGTACTGACTCTTCCTTTTGTTTTCCTTTGAATGGAAGGCGATGGCGATGGTGTAGGAAGAACAGGCCTTGAACGAGGGGCAGGTTTCCGAGGGGGAGTGTTAGTCATAAAACCATGAAGAAACGATGGCGTTGCACCAGGTGGAAAGGATGAAGGGAAGGGTGGCAGAGACGTTGGCAGGGTGAAAGTAGCCGCGGGAGGCGGCTGAGATGAGCGAGGTGGGAATGGGGAACTGGCCGGGAAGGGTGGTTGGGGGTGAGGCCTTGGGCCAACCTCATCTGGAGAGTGTCAGAATGGTGAATACAAATGGCCAACCAAAGGACACACGCACCTGTATCATAACAAAACGTGTCGAGTTTGCCTTTTCCGCGCACAAAGAAAACATCAAGAACAACTAGAAAGTATCGCGTCAGTGATTGGCGGAAAAGCACCTGATAGACAACGTACGTTTGTAGGTGCATTTCAGTGCGTTCTCATTGCATCCTACATACGATTTTCCTTCGTATTCCCCGCCCATGCCAGTGAGGGGAACTGTCCATGCTCTCGCAAGACGGCCGTGAAGACAACGGAGGGGTATCTTCCCACTTGTGATGTCCTGGACTACAAGGAAAGGCGGTTTTAGCTCGCCTGCATGGTCAATCGGGCTATAGCAATCGCAGAATCAGCTGGGTTTATAACGAAAGAAAAGGTCCCACTTACTACGCATAATGTACGCGTTGTCCGTTTTCAAAACTTGTCAGAGATGAGGTCGAAGATGAAAATAACGCCATTGAAGCGAGAATAAGGGAGGGAAAGGGAATGATAGATTCGAGAGGATATGTGGGGGGGGGGAATGAAGGATGGGGCTCACCGATCTGGGCCACGGCTGTTATAGCCAGCTGAAGGCGGTAAAAACGGAGGTCCCAATGGGTCTAGAAGATAAAGGGAGATACAGGGACATGACACGAAGGAGAAGAAGGCAGGAGTTCTGTGAGGAGAGCGGGATGACAGGTCGCGTCGCGTCGTGAATTCCGAAGCGCCTGGCAAACCCTGAAATAAATAATTAGCAGAAATCAAATAATTACTGACAGGAATCACCAAAAACGAAATGGGAAAGGTGCCAGTCACCGTTAGTGACAGACGGCGAGAAATAAAGGGGCAAACGACGGAGGCTCCGGAGGCCAGCATCTTCGGAAATTTCCGACTGTGGTCCCACCTGATTTGAGCCTCACGTGCAATGACAAAAACTTGGTACGGACTGAGATATCTCTTGAACCCCGACTTCCACGATCTCCCCACTAAATTCAACCTGCTGTCAAAAGCCCAATAGAGAGTTTTCCATACGACCAGTTGTTTTTTGTTAGGAGGTGGTCCATTTCCCTCGCTTATTCTTGTTTTGTTTGTGTTTATCTAGGGGTGAACGTCGAACTGGAGACGATATAGGAAGAATGTTGAAGAGGCTTGATATGGATAGGATACTGTGAGTGTTACCGGTACGCCTCTGTTCTTGTTTACGCCTTTATCGTTTCGTCGTTTTGGATCCGTAGGGCTTCAGCTACCCTACCTTTAGTGTGTTTGACGTTTTTACAGCGGTCACTGACAGGCTCTACGCAGGTTTCCTGAACGTGGACTCGTTGACTATGGGCAAGATCAGAAGATACGAACATGAACACGAGGATCTTGGCCCAATAATCATATTCTCCTCCCATCGTTCTTGCTGCCCGAGGCTCGTATATCATGAAGTTGCCAGTTTGCACGTGCCGTCTCTTTCAGTTCGTTGCGCCCAGGCCTACGACTTGGATATCATGGCGTGGCTCCTCACTCGATGACGCTGAATGGGATATCTCACCCCTTTCCTTTCGTGGGTGTTAGAGACCTCACTAGGCCCTTGTCTGTCACTATGCGTCAATTTGTGCTCGGCCTTTCATTCCGCTCGCGTTCGGGTTGGCGTTCTTTGTTATCGTTATAGACGGGAACGACGCATATCGCGTTACATCCAACCCGCACCTCTGGGCAATCTGCTTTGCGACGTACTTAATTGTCAGGTTTCTTATCCGGGTGAGGTGGTGTCGCCGTTGGTTTTTTCTCCGTCACGGTTGTGCTGTCCAACGAGCACTGGGCAAGGGGTACGCTTCGCCGTTGTGTCTCTGCGTTAACCTCTTCACTACGTCTGAGCAAGCCTGCAGCTTTGATATGACGATGTGTCAGGGTTCTTACTCGTTTACCCTTGATCTGGTGATTGTCAGTCGTTTCGTCTTTTTGTTTTTGTGCTTCTCGTCGTGGTCTCCGATGGAGGCATCGCCATGCCGCTGCGCCCAACCTGCGGCTCAGATCTCAGTCGCTGTCGACTAGGTTTGCCTTACGATCTAGATAGTCGTCACCTCTCCTCGTCGGACAAGATGGTGCTATCGTTGGTTTTCTTTCGGTGTGGTTGTGCCATATGCACGAACAGAGCAAGCTTCGCCACCGTTCCTCTGCCGTCATTCTGGTCACTACGTCCGAGCCTACGGTTTTAGGAGGTGTTTTTTTTTTATCTGGCACTACGGGTGAGCTGGTGATGTCCAGACTTATAACTGTCCGACGTCCTCTCCTTGATTATACAGCGCCCATGTCTCGCCCAAGTCACCTCGATTCGAAAAGTTGGCCTCGTTCGTTCGACCATGGCCCCCTCCTACCTCCATGCACTCATTTTCCCTTCCGTGATTCCTCGCCGCCCTTTTTATCTAACCTTTCTGTCGAAACCCGGCACAGATTTTTACCCAGAACGTATCTGTTATCTCGCCCAGACGGTGCTACAAATGAAGACCTTCCCGTCGCTGATATCGGGAATCCCCTCGACTCTCATTTCTTGTTTCCTTCATTCAAGCGGGGTGGAGTCGTTGGCTACCACTATATTCCGAATCGTAGTTTGCCCTGCCTTCTCGATTCTCCACTTTATCTCTGCTCTGTTTCTGACTCTACGGGTCAGGCGCGTCAGTTGTCTGTGCGCTCCAAATTTTCGGTTTTGTGATGTGCCAGACTCTATGCCCGTAGATTTGGGCTCCAACGTAGGGTGATGGTGCTGGTGTACAACTCTTCTTTCCCTCACGATATACAAGGTGTCGACTTCCCCTGTAACCCTTGGAATACCCAAGCTTCAGGCTTGGAGGTGCTGGGGTCGGTAGGGTTTCCAGGACAATCTCCAAGCTGCATCCGAATGAACAGTGCACCGTGCAGGTGGAGTTAAGCACAGATTCCACACATTCCGACTGGGTTGCTTGAGCTGTTTTCTTATCCTTACACCCCGTCTACTCATTTACATGTTATCACCACTATACACTGCTCTCACTATTCGTGGGGAGCCGTTTGGTCTTGCTCATCATCGAGACGGCTCGGGTATCAGCTAGAGGGTTTAATCTCACGTACCTCATCGGTCATTCAACTTCACTTCCTATGCTTGTCGTCTGTTGGGCGGCCCCGATTGTAGCCCGTTTACTCCCTTTATTCTCTATCCGAACCGTACTATCTACTCACTTTTGTTAGAGGACTTGATACCGTTCACTACTCTCGCTTACTTGCGTACCCTTCAGACATAGGACCAAATATCCCAATTTGATTTTCCCCGTTCGTCCCTTCGTGAGGTTTGAATACCTGATCATTAAAGCCAAATAAAAAACAAGATGGTCCAAGGACTATATAGCCCACCGCGAGGGTCGAACTCGCAGCCTTCAGATCAAATGTCTAAGCCCGACGTTGAACGATTATAAGAGTCTGACGCTCTATCCGATTGAGCTAGGCGGGCCGATGCAAGTGGATGAAGATGGACATTGGTCAGCCGGTAAACGTTGATTGCACTCTTCTCTTTGTCTACGACGTTGGATATGATGAATCTATATACTTAACCTCCAGTTGCCAGTATGTACCCACAGACACGACCAAAAAGAAGGGAAAGAAAAAAATACGCTCTGGCAAATCGGTAAGGTCCAACCAGGACTCGAACCTGGGTTAATGGAAATCCGAATAATCAACCATAATCAGACACTTATCAGAATCCAGTGTGATAACCACTACACTATTGGACCATGCTCGTGTTGGTGGCAAAGTGATTGGATGATCTAAGTCAGTGTACTAGAACTTTGGTCGGCTTTGTTGCTCAAGTGCAGTCTCCCAATTTCAGGATCTTACTGGATCGGAGGTGGTTCGTTTTATAAATCCCGCACCATTCGCTACAGTTTGGCATGCGCGCGAGCCTTATCAATACCTCGCTTCTTGGTGGTTTTCTGCCCCAACCCAGGCATAGCTGCACAATATAGAGGCCGGTATAGCACGAGAGCACGGATGACCGGCATCAGCACTGAACTTGCTCATGTCCAGTGCTATGACTCACTCTCCCCGCACCCAACGTTGATTGTCACTTGGCACTGTATCTCTAGATCAGCGCGATGTTTTTGTGTGATCGATTATGTGATTACCTGTTTCTCACAGTCGCATTTGGGAACATTCAAATTCCTGTTTTATGTGTGTAGTGAGATTCAAAAAAGTACCAAGGATTGGGATGAATGAGGGTGCATACAAATGTAAGTAGGCCAAGCAGATTGATGAGACAGAAGGCAAAAAGATTATCATAAGTCTCATACAAGTGAAGGTCTAACCAGGACTCGAACCTGGGTCAATGGAATTCCAACGATATGACGTGAAGACAGAATATCAGAATCCATTGTGATAACCACTACACTATTAAACCGCATTTTGCGTATCCTAAGTTGGAATGTATGATGCATCGGAAACACGCATCTCCATGCTGAAGGCTAATTTTCCTATCCCGATCACACGGCACACAACAGTTTGCCCTACCCTCATCGAAGCTCGGCGTCCGTCCACTCGATAACAGTAAGAACAGAACGTACGCAAGACTAATATGGGTGAGCTCTGAGTATGCGACGTCTAGCATAACCCGCTCCTCGTTGTTAATGCCTCCCAGCTACGTCAATCTGAATCTCCGAGTGCTGGAATCTCATTGAATCGCATTTGGTTAGCTCGAGACGGTAATAGACTCTGAGCCAGAGGGGCGCTTTGAATCTGCGGGAATCTTCACCTTCGGTGCTCGTGAGATTATAGGTAATACTATCAAAATTTTGAGAATGTCCAGAGCTTTCTGAATCACACCGCCGGAGCCCTCCTTCAACTACACTGTCTGGGAGCTCGGAATCTTCAGTGTATTACATGATGTACGCAAATACCAGCATCGTCACGCACGTATCGCGATTTATGCGGAGCCTCTAGCTTTTCCACCATACCCAATGACAGCCTCCCAAAACGCAGACGTAGACTCGTCAGAACGGCAAACCATGGCCCTAAATGCAGCCCTCCCAAGCTGATCCTGCCACTCCCTCCATCGACTAAAATCTGCTCTTTCAGCATCACGCGCGTCGTGCAGTGACCGGCAGACCGATTTCGACGACGAAATTCTAGACTTTATCATATCCTCAAAGCGGGATCGAATCTTGAAGAAAATTCGGGGTGGTCGCTCGAATGGGTGCAGGTTACTAGGTGAAGACGACGCGGGTGATTGGGGGCCAAGGGTGAGTCCTTGGAGGAGCGTTGGGGTGATCAAGCTGCAGGGAATGGGGAAACCTGGTGTGTTGTTCTTGTTGTGGTCCGTCATGTCGCTCATATCTTCATTCAGTTAGCCCGTTATGTCAGTAGCCAGCCTCTTGGGAGGATCAGTGATCTCGAGGTGTTTGGATGACGCTTTGCCAGGCACATCCATAACTTCAAAGTTGTGAATAGGAATATTCCAAGTTGCGCGATGTATCGCAATAGCTCAGAATTCTGAGTCCCGTAAGTGGCCGCCAATTTCCGCCATGGTCAATACGCTCACGGAATTTCAACATGAGGGCTTGGATAGGCAGACTGCGATGTTTGTCTGAGGTCTAGATTCACGAGGAGGTTTTGTTTCGTGAATCTTGTTCTTTAATCGCAGGCCGTGCTCTCGGACGTCAAGCCGCCCAAGTTCGTAGGAAAATGTATAGGGAAGTCGGGGACTGGGAAGTTGTCTGTCTCTTCATATTCATTTTAAACTTAGAACTTCATCCTTCAGCCGTTTCGAATGTGATGCTCTACTGATTATATGAACTTGGATTCTAGAATCTGCTGCGCTACAAGGACGGATCACACGAGTGGCATGTCCGTTGTATTGTGTTGCTGTGTTCCTATGCGCAGCCACCAAGGTGGGAATATAATTTGACAACAGCTATTTATAGACTGTCTTTTTATCTCCTCTGGCTCTTATTGGACACGGTATCACTGCTGCGGCTTGCGATAGCTCGCAAGGATCAGAGGCGAGCGTCCACCAAATCTTATGTTTTGTGAAACACTGATGCTCTTAGACTGGGTTTAGTTTGTCTCTACTTACCGAAGCGAAAAATACCTGTCGTGGTGGTTTCTGTTGTCCGTGGCTCGACCCTGTTATACAAGTAATTTCGATTTCTCCTAGTGCTCATTATTCTCCAATTTCTCAAGAAACGCACATCAAGCACGGGATTCCGAGATTTACTGCGCTTCCAGTATCAGAAGGGTTACCCGTTAATGGTCGCGGTTGACAACACACTCAGGCGATCCTACGATTCCAACACGTTTAATTTGTTTCCCTGCTCGGATTTACCAGTCAATTGGACCGTACCAAGTGAAGCGAGGATGCAGGCGATGCTGTTGTCTACGGACTTCCCATCGGTAACGCGCCCCGCTCACCGGAAGCTCGAAGCCGTAACTGTTTTGTTCCGTCGCCCGGTGATACCAGTGGGGATTCGTCTGCTGCTTTGACTACCCGTGGTAGTTCACGGTTTTGTACCTGAGACAAATTTCCCCCTACACTCTCTCGAATATAAAAGCTCACCTCCAATTCCCTGACAGAACAAACCAACCCACCCCATGAGCAGAATGCCTCGTCTCTTGCCTTCCTTCTTTACACTCTCTTGCATCCTGGCATTGCCAGCCTTTGCCTCGATCGGTCCTGTAGCTGACCTGACCATTACCAACAAGGACGTCTCTCCGGATGGCTTCACTCGTAGCGCTGTTGTTGCCGGTGACAGCACTATTGGCCCACTCATCGTCGGCAACAAGGTTTGCTCTCTACCCCCCGGTCGAACATTCGAGAGAGATAACTGATTTTGACCTCTCAGAACGACGAATTCCAGATCAACGTCGTCAACAACCTGGACGATGACACAATGTTGCAGTCTACGAGTATTGTAAGTATTGCTTCCCGAGTTCGTTCAATTCAATTCACTTATACCTTCGATTTCGGTAGCACTGGCACGGATTCTTCCAGAAAGACTCTCCCTGGGCTGATGGTGTTGCCTTTGTGACACAGTGTCCGATCGCAAAAGGCAATAGCTTCCTCTACGACTTCAAAGCTCAAGATCAGGCTGGAACGTTCTGGTACCACTCTCATCTTTGTGAGCTGAGAATTTATCCGCATTTTCACACGATTTACTGATGTGTTTCTTTAGCGACCCAGTACTGTGACGGTCTTCGGGGACCAATGGTTGTCTACGATCCCGAAGATCCTCATGCTAGTCTCTACGACGTCGATGATGGCAAGATTTCGTTCCCTTTGTTGTGGTAGCACCCAACTCAATGTGCTTGTCTCACAGAGTCCACCGTCATCACACTCGCGGACTGGTATCACACAAAGGCCAAGCAAATCACCTTCGGGTAGGTTCTTGATCCCTTTTTACGTGATTATCGGAGATTCAGTTCCCTCCACCAAACAGCACGCCCCAATCTACTCTCATCAACGGCCTCGGTCGCTGGAGCGACGCCAACGAGACTTCATCATTGACAGTCATAACTGTCGAGTCTGGGAAAAGGTACGATTTCCCGGTCTGCTTCTATTCTGAAGGTCACCAACATGATGTCCCTCCATAGATACCGCTTCCGTGTCGTCAATGCTGCTTGCGATCCGGCCTATGAGTTCTACATCTCAAATCACACTTTGTGAGTATCCCTGAAACAATCGACATCTGGTCGGGTTTACCCAGCAATTTGTATCTAGTACCGTTATCGAGGCGGACTCCATCAGCCACGAACCAGTGACTGCAGATTCGGTAACAATCTACGCTGGCCAGCGATATTCACTCGTGGTAGGTATTTCCGAACGATACAATCTCCGTTTTCCCGGACACTTCTGATTCTGGTTTCAGATGGAAGCCAACCAACCCGTCGGAAATTACTGTAAGTTGTGGCATGAATTGCAATTGCACAGCATAATAATCTCAACGTATCTTCATCTTGCAGGGATCCGGGCCAACCCCAACGCGGGTTCAACTGGTTTTGTGAATGGCATAAACTCAGCTATCTTGCGATACGTCGGAGCCTCGGAAGAAGACCCTGAGGTCACCACAGAATTCGAGCCCACAGCTCCCCTGAGCGAAAGCGACCTCATAGTGAGTCCAAGACTGCCATTTTTGTGTTTTTCGTCACTGACGATGTTGTTGTAAATAGCCTCTCGAAAACCCTGGAGCGCCCGGAGATGCAACAATTGGCGGAGTTGACGTCGCTATGCACCTCAACTTTGGATTCGTAAGTCTGGCTGCCATCCATTCGCTCCACTGCCTGACTAATGTCTCGCCCTTCATCATTGATAGAGCGGAGGATTGTTCACACTCAACGGACAGAGCTTTACTCCTCCCACTGTCCCCGTTCTGCTTCAAATTCTGAGCGGAGCCCAAAGTGCGGACTCTTTGCTCCCTGAAGGAATGGTGTTTCCTCTTCCGGCAAATTCTACGGTCGAATTGTCTTTCACGGGTGGTTTGCTTGGTATCGAACATCCTATGCATTTGCACGGTGTATGTATATCATCTATTCTGCTCGCCCTACACCTGTGCTGACCGATGTCTTAGCATTCATTTGATATCGTTCGTGTCGCTGGGAGCAGTACCTACAACTATGCAAACCCGGTATGTGCCCTGAGCCTCTTTCGCTCAAGATTACGTTTCTCACGTTGATCCGGTCTTTTAGGTTCGCCGCGACGTAGTCAGTCTCGGAGGATCTAGCGACAATGTCACGATTCGTTTCAGCACCGATAACCCCGGCCCTTGGATTATGCATTGCCATATCGACTGGCATCTCGAAGCGTGGGTACCATTTCGATCATCATCGAGCAACCAGAGAGTGAGCTTATCGACCTATCTGTTCCAGTGGTTTCGCGGTTGTGTTCGCCGAGAGGACAGATGAGTGGGAGGCTTTGACCGCGCCTCCAAGTGAGTTCATAGTAATTTATTGATGATAAAGTCGGAATCTTACCTTTCTCTTCTCTCTCTCTACTTAGCCGCATGGGATGATCTCTGCCCAACTTACGACGCTCTCGATTCCGGAGACCTCTAATTTATCTGACAACAACTTTCCTTAACCTTTTCTTCTTTTCCTCTCGGGCCATACTCCTTTGCTTTGTGACTTGGACATTCGTTAAACATTCGCTGAAATAATACTAAACTCCTGAAACTACGCTCCCTCATTCGAATAGGACATTTACTCTTATTATTTATTTTCTCTCGTGGTATAAAAGGTCTAGATAAGGTGTATTTATCTTCAAGTACAGTGAATGGGATCACCATTTCGTATCGTCTCTCTCTGACCTACTCAGGTGCTCCCTAGTTCTCGGTACCATTTTATTAGCTTCCCTGAGCCGAGTAAAATCGATATTCATTGGATTTTGACAACGTAAGTCGAAATGGTTTCGAA